AGTGTAAAATGGTATATTTATGACAGTCAGAAGATGGAAAACAATTACTTGTTAAAAATAATTGTTTAACAATTTTAATTCATAAATTATGGCCCATCAATTCAATGAAATAATTGGCAACTATTATATATAATATATGTATACACACACACACACACACACACACAGACACATATAAATCCACATAAACACTTCTTGTCACTGAATGAAAAAAGCAGGTTCCAATATGGTACATAGAGTGTGACCAATCCATTTTACATTTATGTACAAAATGTGTGCAAGTGTGTGTGTGTATTTACATCAAAGTGCTAATAATATTTATCTCTGGGCAGCAGGGTTTGAAATGAAAACAGAATTTGTATTTGAACAGCTTCGATATCATTTGAGTTCTGTTTATCATGTGTGATGGTTTTTGTAATGTATGTTAAAGTTATCAATATTTATCATAGAAAAATTGAAACAGGAAAAGGTATAATCACACAACACAGAGACAACTAGTGTTCAGATTCTGCTGCATTCCCTTCTACAATGTTTTTCTATGCTTGCATACATGTTTTTATGTATATTTGAGGTCATAATACAGAAAGTTTATAGCTAGTATTACCGAGACTCTCATTCACCAATCCATTCATTTGGCATCCATCACCTTTTTATGGGAAACTCCAGTTCATATTATGGGAAATGCTAAAAAAGGAAAGAAAATATTGAGAAGAGAAGAATTCTGACAATAAATAGCTCTCATTTATCTAAGTTATTCATTCAGCAAGTGTTGAGGGCCCTTTAACTGCTGTGAACTGTTCTAGATGCAATAAGCATGTGCCAACCAATTTTTGTTCTTAATGGAAACAGAAGCCATCAATATTCGTTTGTCATTTATTAGTTTTTGAATGAATAAAGACATGTCTGGTCTTCACATGATCTATCAGGCATTTAATGTATTAACTTTGTTAAAATTCATCAAATGACTAGAGATTTTTCTCTTGAAGCTGAGGTCACTATCATTTAAATTTCTTCCAGTGAACATATGCTTGCAAATCCATGCCAGCTGAATTAATGAGTAGAAGATAAATGTGTCTACTGATGGAGAAGAAGAAAGGACCAATGGAAAGCCACATGTAGTCAGGAAATGAATTCAACATTCACCTTTGTTATAGGGCCAAAATGTGGGATGAAGACAAAGACCATATGGAAGATTATTACTGATATCAATAAAATTATGGTAGCTATGAACACATCCCTTCCTGTTCCCTGCTCTGATAGTCTCTATTGCTATTCTATTTCCTATTGGGGAACTAGCTTCTCTGATGACAAATGCAGATGCTGACAGACTGGTTAAAGTTGAAAGCATGATGACCACCAGGGTGATCAAGTGGAGGCCACAGTCCAGGAACCAGACAGGTCCTGGCAGGGGGTGGCAAAGCAATGACAAAAACAGGCAATGGGGCTTTCATGGACGGAACCGAGACATCAAAAAGTTCAGTAGGTTGCACTGTAGATGGGATGCAGATGGAAAATATGTCTCTAGAACAAAGTAAGGGTTTAGTTATTAATGCAGAGTGTTAGGCTAGAGATACCAAGTTACTGGCTTGATTCATTTTTTTGTTCCTCTTGAAGATCAGGTCCTAGAGCTACAGGTGAGGCTTAACCTACAAATAAAGCTTTACTCAGCTGTGGAAACCAGCTTTGAAAGAAACTCATTAAATAAGTGGTTATACCTTCTTAAAGTATGAAATCCAACAAATTATAGGGTAATTGGAAAATCATGATTCTTACATAGAATCACATCTTTCTAGATTCTCTGGTTACTAATGTGAACCTATTACTTTAGCTTCCTGAGCTTTCCCCCTCCCTCCTCCCAACACATTGTAGTGCTATTGTGAAGATCTCACTATCCCCTTTTCCTTTCTTTCTACTGTCGTTTTAGACAAAAATGCAAATTACACTGAAAATATTATTATGGTAGAGATCACTCATGACATCTTGGTATTTGTGTAAAACAAAAGCTGCTGACCCTCTATGAAGAGTTTTAGATAATTTCATACTCTGCATATATGTCTAGGCTTGGTCAATTAACAGGTAGATTGGATGTAATAGAAAAGAAACTACCTTTTCCAAATAGAATGCATAAGCACTACCTGTTCAACCTCAAGATCTCCATTCTCAGCCTGGGTTGTGTTGGTGTTCCCTGAGGTTGTGCTGTGTACTTCCTATATGACTGTGGGTAGTGAGTATACCCTTGTGAGGTTATAGGTAAACTTTATTTTTCTGGTGGTAAGAAATCTCTTAAGTTATTTCATGTGTGCATACTTTAACCCTAAAAGAGAAGATAGCAGTCAATCTCTTTCTTCAGGTGTTTAATTTATATTTTTTGGAATTTCTGCATCAGTGATAAAGAAACCTGCATTTGTTATAAGTGGAAGGAGTTTAATGGAATACATTGGTTTTGCTCTACATGGCTATTTGTAAGTATAAGGAAACCAAATGCCATCTGGTAAGCAGAAATCACTTTTTCCAGTGCAGTATTTTTAATTATGTCTTTTCACCTGAGCTCCAGGGCAAAAGTTCCATTTTTTCCCTGCTTCTTATTAATAAACCTTACAAGTGCAGGATTTTTTAATTTCATATTTTAAGTGAATTTTGCATGCAAAATTTTCTGAAATGACATTAGCTATGTAGTTAAGATAATAAATTGTCTCTGGAGTTTCTTCACTGCATACAAATCTTTAAATCCTACCTGGATTGACTGTACTCCTTGCACATAGAAATACACAATCTGCATGTTACTGAAAGTGTGTTCAATAGCTTGTTGTGATTATTGTTTGTGTGCTACATACATTTGAAACACATGGCAACTATATTTGGTTGTTGTTACTATTGTTGTTTTGGGTCCATTGTTTATGTTAAGTGTGATATCATGCACCATGCAGACTTGCAAGCTTTTAGAAATTAATTAACCTGAACAAAATTGAATTCACCAGTCTAGGTTCCTTAATAATATCCTGCCTAAGACATTAAATAATATATGAGAAGAGAATGGATGTGGGGAGATTCCAAGAAGTCAGAACAAGAGATCAGGTTTCCTGAATTTTTATTTCCCTTTCTGCCATTGTGCTCTTGAGTCAGCCACTGTCTGCTTTTGTTTTCCTGGCTGTAGCACGAGAGCAATAGCAAGCCTGGGCGGTATTGTAGTGAGAGAGAATAAATGCCTAAAATGTTCTTTGAGAGCCTCAAGTAAAACATACTATGCCACGTGTGGAAATTATTATTGGTTCATTCTTCTTGTACTTTTGGTCCTTGCCCTCTAGGCTCAGACTGCCAGCCAAGGCACCAATTACTGTGGATGGGGCTGTTGGTTCTTGTGATGTGAACACCTGTCCTCCAGCAAATGAGTTGAGATAACACATACCAATTTACTATGTGTGTCATACGCCCTACAAATTGAATCTCCAAAATACACTCAGAATTGAATAAAAAATGACACTGGGTTTAAATGACAGGAAATAGACATAATACAATTGCGTGGGCATCTGTGTCCACCCAGGCCTTTGTCCACACAGTCTGCTGCAGTAACGCCACGCCAGACTTCCCTCTGCATTTTCAGAGCTGACTAAGGAGCCATCTGTATGGGGAAAGTCACTGCAGAATTGCTGGCTTCTCTGGGACAGCCTCAGGCTGATTAATTCAGTCAGGCCAGGGCTTGGCAGACCCTGCCCCACACTGCTTATCAGATAAGACAAAATTGCAACCTGATACAATTCCAAGGACCTTCACGTTTATATTTTAAGAAATATTAATTAGGCAATGGGACAAGCTGCCCCATAAAAATTGTTGCCCTAAAGTTTACGGGAGAAAAAATTTCAGAGAGAAAAAGGAAAAAGAAAAGAAAGCATAGAGTAGGAGTTGAGGGAATGGGCTTTCAAGGGCAGCCAAATGCGGGTGTAAACCTTGGCTACGCTTTTACCAGCTGCGTGACTTCTGGCAACATCATCAACCAAAATTTCCCTACTCTTCAGTTTCTTTACCAAACTCTAAGTTAGGACCATGCCTAACTTGTTCATCCCTATATCCCGGATCCCTGTCACAGAATTTGGCATATTGTAGGTGTTAAAAAACAATAGATGAATGTAAAGATTTTTCTGGAGTCATTTTTACTACTTGGTACAGCTGGGGATTTAGTCATCCAGGATAGGTGCACAACCATCTGTGTCAGCTCACTCTGGTGCCTTCCTGTCTCTATGGGAACAACCTCTGGGTGAGGGAGAAAAGAGCTTCTTCAGAATTTGGCCTGCTCTGTTTAAACGCCCAGCCAGGAGGTTAAGCATAATGCTTAAGCTCATTTTGTACAAATCAACACTCTTCCCTCAAATCAGGTACAGTGCACAGCCAGGATTTCATATTTGATACATTTCTGAAACCTTTAACCTATTCATATATTTATAGAATTGTGCATCTGTAGAATTTTGAAGTGTTTTTAATGGTTTTATTTTAGTTAATAAAGTGATCCTCAAATAAGTACAAGTGCACGCACTTCCCATGGCTGTGCTTTATGTAGGTACCTATGTACATCCATTTTTCCTTTCTTTCCTATTTTTAATTACATGCTAATCCATCAGACCTGCATTGCTCCAGATACTCCTTTCTATGGCCATTCACACTTAACATATCCTGCCAAGAATTAGAGAAAAAGTAAGGATAAGAACAAAATAGGTACTAATTTATTCACCTTTATCTTATGCCCTCCAATCCTTTAGCTAGCACCTCCTTTGGCTGAATCTAGCAGGAAGCCAGTTGACAGAGTATCCTGAGAAACATCACCTGCAGGGGTTTGACTTCCTGTGTTCCAGGGTGGAGTAGAGCTAGGAGGAGGCATGTATCTGAAGGTGGACCAACTCTGAACCAGCACGTAGCACTTAGTGCTTCACATCATGTTTGTTTATGGAGACGTCTCCATTCTTAGAATGTGAGCTGCCTAGAAACAGAAACTGCATCTTTTTCTGCTTTGTATCCCCTGCTCCCTGCCCATTGCTTTGAGTAAGCTTAACAAGTGTCAAATGGGTGCATCTGTTCGTGGAGTTAAGTAGTATTCTTCCCAGGAAAAACGTTTGCTTTTTCAGTTGGATAAGTTTGGACCTGTAGAAGTCTATGGTCTAGTTATGGATATAAATGGGTATGTAGCATAGTAGGGAGGAGATTGGAAGAAGGATCAACTGAGAATTGTTTATAATTCTTCAAAAGGACCTGCTAAACTTGACAAATAACAGGTTAGCTTAGATTGCAAAAGAGAGGAGAGAGACACTGGAGCGGGTAAGATGTCAATGAGAGGACTATGCAGAGTGAGACAATATCATGGGTTCCTGACAGTCAGACATTGTGTGGCATGAGTTTCTGAGTTTAGAGATTAGAGGTACCACTAATTAGAGGTGTAAGAAAAGAGGTGCCACTCAGAAAATGAAGGGACAAACCATGCAGCTCATGTCAAAGGTGAAAACCTAATTACATTTATTTTGCAATATTGCCTTGCTTCAACTCCGTAACTCCCCACCCTCAATCCCCAGCATGTGTTTCACTCTTCTCTGTAGCAAAGTACTCTGTTCCCAGTATTTCTTTCTTTCTTTTTTTTTTTTTTTTTTTTGAGACGGAGTTTCGCTCTTGTTACCCAGGCTGGAGTGCAATGGCGCGATCTCGGCTCACCGCAACTTCCACCTCTGGGTTCAGGCAATTCTCCTGCTAAGCCTCCCAAATAGCTGGGATTACAGGCACGCGCCACCATGCCCAGCTAATTTTTTTGTATTTTTAGTAGAGACGGGGTTTCACCATGTTGACCAGGATGGTCTAGATCTTTTGACCTCGTGATCCACCCACCTCAGCCTCCCAAAGTGCTGGGATTACAGGCTTGAGCCACTGCGCCTGGCCCCCAGTATTTCAAACAGCACCTGGCATGTGAATATGTATTGAATAAGCATAATGTAGAGGGTAAGGAAGTTGTAAATATAGGGCAATGACTGTATGTAGGTTTGCTTTAAACCTGAAGCTGGAGATACAAATGCATATTGTATTAGTTAGCTTGCACTGCCATACAAAATACCATAAAGTAGGTGGCTTAAACAACAGACATTATTTTTCTAAACGTTTTGGAGGCTGGATGTTTAATATCGAGGTGGCAGGATGGTGAGGTTCTTGTGGGGGATCTTTTCCTCATTTACAGATGGCCTCACATGGCAGAGAGAGAGAAAAAGGGAGCAAGCTCTCTACTGTCTCCTCTTACCAGGACATTAATCTTATCACGAAAGCCCAATCTCATGACCTCATCTAACCCTAATCATTTCTCCAAACCCCACCTCCAAATATCGTCGCAATTCACAGTAGGGCTTCAACTTATGAATTTGAGGGTAGGGGGATCACTGTTTATCCCGTAGCACCTGTGTAGCTAGTGGTCCTTCGGCACTGTTTTTACTTTGAGGTCAGGCAAGTTTCATTTCTTTGGGGAATCATGGAAAACAGTAGTCACCAGAACAAGAACACATTAACCTTATCAGGGATGGACAATTCAGCTTAGGAAAGGATGAATAGGAATTTAACTTCTCAAGGCCCAGATACATTATTCTTTACATCTGTGACACATTTTATTACATATCTACCAATTACCTGTTCCCTTTCCTTTCTGCCAAATAAACAGAGTATTTCTCATTCCATTACTTCCAGTTTGATAATGTGATTTACACTGGTCAACAGCATGTGACCTGATGTGACATTCCACATTTGAGCAAAATCTTAGCATTAGCTTGACTTTGAATCTTTTGTGAGTTCCCTTAATTGAGAACAGCATGACCCAGACAGTGGTTACTTCTTCAAACTGTTTTCCAAAAAGAAAACTCAGAGCACAGAACTGAGCAGAACCTGTTAAAGCCACAGCTGACTTGCAGATCTCAGGTGATTTGAGCAAGAAATAACGTGTTTGCCAGTGTGAACTGATAAAGTGTATGTATTATGAGCTGATAAGGTATATGTATTAATTTGTTATTGTTGCTGTAATGAATTGCCATGAACTTAGCAAATTTAACAACACAAATTCATTATCTTTAGTTCTTTGGGATTAAAGTCTGACACGAGTTTTACTGGGCTAAAATCAAGATATTTGCAGGGCTGTGTTCTCTTTTGCAGACTATATTGAAAAATCACAAGTTCGAGCTATAAAAACGTGGACATCTTAGGGCTACTATTCTGCAGTATGGGTATTGTAATTAAGGAATCAAGCGTGATGATATTGCTAAAAAACAGAACCAGAAACTACTTTAAAAATGAACATGAAACAGCGGCTACTTGTGGCTGCTTGAAGTCACACGATAAAAGATATAAAGCAGAATAACATTACATTTGATAACCTGGCTCTATGCCCAGTTCTGCCTCTAGCTGCAGCACCTTGGGCAAGTCATTTGATTCCTTCTACTCTTAATATTTTGAACTGCAACATGAAAATAATAATTCTAGTGCTATTTATCTTTCAAAGTTACTAAATAGATCAAAGCATTATGTGTATACATACTTATATATGTGTGTGTATGTATATGTCTATATGGTTTGTTCTTTCATTCTCTGTACAGATACATATTTATATACACATATATGTGTGTGTGTATATATATATATACTATATATCACCTGAGGCCTGCAAGTCAGCATTATGCAGTATATGCTAACTATGCAGCATATATGCAGTATACATATATATATGTATATCCTGTACATGTAGTATATACATATATATATATGCTGACTTGCAGATCTCAGGTGATTTGAGCAGAAAATAATGTGTTTGCCATTGTGAACTGATACAGTGTATGTATTATGACCTGATAAGGTATATGTATTAATTTTTTATTGTTACTGTAATGAATTGCCATCAACTTAACAAGTTTAATAACACAAATTTATTATCTTCAGTTCTTTTGGATTAAAGTCTGACATGAGTTTTACTGGGCTTAAATCAAGATATTTGCAGGGCTATGTTCTCTTTTGCAGACTATATATATACATATGTATATAGACACATCTTGTATATTTATACACAAATATATGTGTGTGTGTATATATATATAAAACAATATGTGTGTGTATATATATATAAACATATATGTGTGTGTATATATATAAAACAATACTAATTACACTAACAACATATATGTGTGTGTATATATATATAAAACATATATGTGTGTGTATATATATATAAAACAATACTAATATGTTTTATATATATATACACACACATATATACACATATGTGTATGTTTTATATATATAAAACAATACTAATAGTTGGTAATAGGATAATCGGATTCAATCTTGCTCCAAATTTCTCTTTTATATGCATCCTGCCTTATGCGTCTATTTATGGGCTTGTAACTAACCTTTGAAGTAGATTAGGTTAATCACTTTTCACTGAAAAAGTGATACATCTTCCAAAGATGCACACCTTCTTCATCTCTTCATCAGTGGTAACTGTTCAAACTTACTCAGCAATCAACAAATGAAATTAAGGTCTAATTTTCATTGATTTAAAGTCCTATGTTTGGAAATAAATATGCTTGTGTATACATTTTTGTTCTACATTGTGAACAATTTTCTGTACCTAATCTTTTATATCACAACCTGGTCTTGACAATTCTAAATTCAATTATATAGGTATTTCAATAGAATATTCTTTGGGATGACCATATACAATTGCTTTCCCTTTTGTTGGGGGTTTGGCTTGGTGTTCGTTGTCTGACCATCTTGACTGACTCCTAAGGCATGCATGGGTAAGCCGCTGTCTTACTTAATGGAAGTTGGAAGCTATTCTTCTCCCAGCATCCATGGAATGAATTTATCTAAAATAAAAGAATTTAATCATTCAAAATGTGTTCATAAGAGATTAGGAAATTATAGATAATGAAAACATTCATATCTTTCTATACCTTTTGTTCTTTGCCTTTTTAAAACATATACATTACTATTTAGATATGTCCAATTAAATGCTCCCCAGTGTGTATGTACTAAAATATGTACAACACATAGATATATACCTTTTTTTAGAACAAACCATTGTACTTATCCAGTGACAGATCCACTTTTTAATGTGCTGTTTTTAAGAGATCACAAATTTGTCAGTGGCAAAGCTAAATATTTTCAGCAAAGTAATGCAATGAAAGAAAAATGTCACTTGTTAAGAATGTTTTCGACATTCAAGATAGAGGCCTATAACTGACTATTCCATGGACTTTGATATTATTCTATGCTAGCCTAAACCTGAATATAAAAATTAGTACAAAACATGATACTAATAAGGCAAAAAAGTCATATGCAAATTAAAACTTTACCAGATGAATAATAATTAAACACATATTACATAAAGTATGCCATAATGGCCCTAAAAGTAAAAGCAATGGATTATTCTGAGAAGTCATCTTGAAAATTAGTGTCTAATAAAATGAAAGAACCCTACTCCCTTGCTCAGCTCTAATCTCTAAAATTAAATATTTTGAAATACTTTGTTTTATAGCTCATTGTGTTGTTAACCACTATACTCATTATAATTAATGTTGTGGTTCTTAATTTATTATTTCAGCAGTAGCTGTCTGAAGTAACAGAATGAGATATCAAACACAACACCTTTTAAATAAATTATAAGCAAATGAGGAGATGGATAACCTATTCTCCATGACATGCTTATTTCACATCGCATGCCTCTATCAAAACATCTCATGTAACCCTAAATATATACACCTACTATGTACCCACAAAAAGTTTAAAAAATAAAATAAAATTACAAGCATACACAACAATTCATATTACATGAAAAACATATAAACGAAAAGTTTTACACTAAACACAATAGAATGATTGGGAAGGAATGAACGATGGGAGTGGGAGATGACAATTCAAAAAAATCAATAAATGAATGACTAAAACAAAAGGGATTTTAACATGCCATGATTTAAGGGGTATGATTAACTTAACCTTCTGCACCGGGGGTTCAAAAAGTAGTAATTTGTTTGCATTTTAGCTTCTTTGGGGGCAGTGGTTCAATACTGAATGCAAATCGTAGTGACCCAAGGAGCTTTTAAAAAATGCCCCCACTTAGACCCAACCCCTACATGTCCTGATTGACGTCTGGAGTGAAAATTATGCATATGTATTTTTTGTGATTAAACATTAAAAAGCGAACACATCTGTGTACCTAAAATCCTTGGCAAAACAATAAATATTACTAGAAATCCTGATGCTCCTTCTCACGGGACATCAATAGTCATAAAAGCTCAGATGTG